TGGGTCGAAGGTCATTGACGTTGTCTATTAGTTTATGCTCTCATATTTGACCACTGACGTCTACTTTCGCTTTTATAGCTGTCCAAAAACATCCAAATTCGCAACTTTGGACTGCTCTAGCACGTGACCTAATTAACCTAGAGAGTAAATTTTTTCGGTTTCCTAATGTGCTTCTCGTGTACTTTACATAGATATATAACAATCGTTTTTTTAAAGCAAAATTGAAATTCGTGATTTTTTCAAATTTGAGTTTTTTTTTTACAAAATTTGCGACTTTTTGAGCTTAGTGTATGTATATGTTATGATCTATTTGATGTAGAACCTTGATATTTGGAATATAACTAGACACTTTGAATATGAATTCACCTATGACAAAAAAATTTATGTGGGTGTGGCACATCCGGGTTGAATTACTAATTGTTTACATTTTGGGGCTGGGGCATAACTCGCATAGGATGCATTTGTTCAAAAAGAGACTTTGCACACAATTACCTGATCCTTTTGGCCAGTATGTATTAACAGCTCAGTTGTTTCAGCTTTATAGTTTCAAAAAAGGAACGGGTTTTAACATTTGGATATTTTCATTTTTCGATTTTGACCTTTGTTGAATTTTGTTGACCTATATCTTTTGACCTCTATTATGTAGGAACTTGACATTTGGAACATAACGTAACATTTTGAATATTGATTAACTTATTCAAAAAAAACTGAGTTGGGCGTGGCACTTCCGGGTTTAATTACTCATTATTGACATTTTTGGCCAGGGGCATAACTCGCAAAGTATACATTTGTTCAAAATGGAACTTTGCATACAATTACCTCATATTGTGAGCCACTTTGTCTTAGAATTTCGGTTGTTTCCGCTTCTTAGTTCAAAAAAATGAACAGGTTTTGGAAATTGAAAATTTTCAATTTTTGACCTTGACCTTTGTTGACCTTGACCTTTGTAGGATCAAACGTCATTGGCATTGGCTATCTATTTGTACTTTCATATTTGCTGTCCTATGTCAACTTCCGGTTTTATAGTCGTGTGCAATTAGAAATTTTGATGACGTATATCTCTTGATCTTGACCTTTTTCGACCTTCTCTTTTACAAGATCAAAGGTCATTGACCTTGGCTATCTGCTGATACTTTCATTTGTGAGGTCCGACGTCTACTTCCGGTATTAGAATCTTCTAGAAAATGAAAATTTCTCAACTTTAGACTGTTCTTGCGCTTGATCTAATTATCGGCGAAGGTTGTTTATTTCGGGGTTCTTCTGCAATTTGCTACATTTGCAAAGTCCCACTCTGTGCCACGAGTGGCTCTAGTTTTATCTCTTTTATTGGTCATTACAGAGTTTGGTGGATGC